GGTACAGTAGCAGACTGCTCTGCTCCACCTAATTTGGGAATTTATATTTTCACTAAAGACGCCTAGAAATATCATGCATTACTCCATTTTGTCTCTGTTATGCGACCTGAGGGGAAACTAGTTGTTCAGACATTGCAGTTAAGATCTTATCTGCAACATTGATGTCTTAATTTCGTCATTTAACTCTTTAATGTTAACGTTGGCCAAAGAGGACTAACCTGAAATCTGTTCATAAAAAGTGAAATAGATCGCTCTTATCATTAGGCCAATTAGTCTTTTTGACTCCAGGATATTATCTTAGTTTTTTAGTAGAATCAGCATGAATTTTCGCTAGACACCACAAGTTATCGAAGTTTCTATTCTCTCGCTTTTTCGCCCTTTATTCGGCCAGACAAGTAATCTAGGTTAAATACAGTTAATAACAGTCATTGGACTTTCGTACATTATTTGCTTCTGAATTAACCAGCATTTCTCTTCATCATTCTATATAAACTGAAAGCAGGGTCATTAGTTAACTGCTGTCTCAAATATGTTAGGATACTTCGCTCATTTCCTCTTCATCTTAAGTAAATTATTTTTTAACTTGTAAAATGTTGTCTCTTCCGTATAATGGGAAGTACTCAGGTTAAACTAAGTTAACAATGGAAGCATTATTATAAAGATAATCTGCTGCGGAAATATCTGCTTTTTGATGCGATTTTAAACCATAGTAGTTGAGTTGATGCAGTATACACTTAAATCTTGCCTCAACTTTCAATTTGTGACTAAGACCATAGGTCAGCCGAGGTTGTTCACGTGCCGTGAGGACTGACTACTGAAGATACCTCCGTGTAACAATGAAGTCAAGACAGAAATGCTGGCCGTATAGAAACGCTTTCGGTGAGGCAGAATTCTACGAAAGTGTAATGGCGTTTAAAGATCTTTTAATAAGTTCACTGTAGACAACTCAACTATCAATCCTTATTGAGGTTGTTTGACCTTGTTTTCGCAACTTGGTCATATTGGTAGGAAGACTTAGAGAAACGCACCTAGTCTGGAGTCCATTGTATGCACGATCATTTCCAAAGTTGGACCGTGGGCGTGGACATTCCAAGAGGTTTCGCCGACATCGTAGTCGGCATCGTCAGTGAGTCTCGCTATTCTTACCACCACACAACGAATCGTCAAAGAGACAAGTGAAGCTGATCCTTTGACCAAACGTGTGCTTATGTCATCTCAACTGACCTCAGCTGACTCTAGTTCTTGTTCAAGGACCACCTTTGCTTTCCAGATCTATTCACTCTATTTATAAGTTGTTAGTGGCTCTTTTGTTAGCGTTAGCATGTGACGATATTTTTGTCTCACTTCTGCAAGGGTTCTGCTTCGTTAATGTTGGTTTTCTTCTAGTTTTACGCCACTGACTTGCGTCTGATGTTAAAACGTGTGCATGTTTGTTTTTTCAATTATTTTTATTTGGCAGACCTGGCTGGAACGTGCTGACGCCGGTCGTCTGCTTTCTTTTGACGAGGCCTCCGCTTCTGCTCTTGACTTGGCTGACTTATTCCGACCGTCATCGTTCTTAAATGCTGTTTGTCAGGAGACGGCCACTCGTCTTCGCCTGGCCATGGATCAGCTTGTGTTGGTAGTAACTAACTGGGCGACCATCAAGCAGAACCATCTGGAGGCAAGATCCAGGCTTGGCGAATCTTCACTATCTTCTGATAAGGCTCCGCTGCTACGCATTACTGGACTTCAGTTAGAGGGCGCTCTGTTCGATGAGCAAACTCATCGACTTACCGGCACTAAGGCCGATTCGCCTACCCTGACGACCATACCAGATGTCTTCATAGCATGGGTGACCTCGGTAAAAGCATGCATAAGCTAGAATTTTAGATCACTAAAGATATTATCTGCCTATGTCATCGCTACAGCTGGCAATGCTGTATAGGCTGTACGTTTTTACGCCTATAAGCATAATTAGGAAATTATGTGATTACTAGTTTGCAATTTTAGACATTATTTATCGAGAAGGTAAGTAGAATCACGCCACTTATGTTTCATTAAAAGTAGAAAAATAACGCAGTTAAAAATTAGCGTCAAACTCTGTTAGTCGTTGCAGCCTGACATCTAATCTTTTCATTGAGTCACAATTACCGTACAGTTATAGAGAAAATGTTCACAATTATCCCCACTATGGAATGTAGAATAAGCATATTTCTTCAGTGAAATAAACTACTCAATGGCACCTAAAAAGCCTACCTAATCCGACCGGGACTGTAGCCTCAGTCTTGTCCGCATCCCTTGCGGGATGATAACCGTAAATATGTGGATTTAGATATAATAACATTGTTCATGAATTCACATTATCTTGAATTGGCTTTTTCCTTTATTGAGTATTGAGCGTGGCTTTTAAAGCAAAGTAAGCTCTTAATCCACGTATTTTCTGCGAAATAGTATTGATGTGAAGACTTTTATTTCGTATGGGAGTACATGGTGGAGATATTCGTTGGTCAATCTCACCAGAAGGCGTCGGTTGATTTGCGTTGTACTGCATTACTACGACGTGCAGGTTGATGCAGTCCATTAGACATCCTCCAACGTTTAGAGCGAAGACGGGCTGAGCTTTTGTACGTCATGCCACATAACGAACATCACCAGGGCTGGAACTCCTTACAAAAGCCTCAAATTAACACTAAGTCAATAAGACTAACTGGCTTTTTTATATATGATACATACTCATTGCGAGCAAAATTTTAAATATAGATGGATATTGAAAAGTTTGGTTACTTCATGTATCTTCAAGTGTGTCAGTGTGTGCATGTGTGCTAACGGCTGTACGCAAAACCAGTCATAACTCAAAGTAATTAAAAGAAGGCTTGATGTTAGCTCCAGGTCATCGAATCTCTTCATCATGTACTTCCATACGAAATGAAAGTCTACACATCAATCTTATCTCAGGAGATTCTTCGAAACCCACCCTTTATTCATATATGCGAAATAGTATATCAACATT